TTACTATTACATATGGGTATAATAATAAAACCGTATAACTCCTTTCTTATGTTGTTACAATGATACCGTTGCGTATTAGTATCATTTTAAATTATTGATAAGGATTGATCCTTTTAATCGAATGATTGATTGATTGATTGATTTTCTTGTTTTTAGGGGCTTTAAGTAATTTACCGCAATTTTTTGAAAATTTAAAAGGAAATTTTAAAACTTTGGAAGATTTAACACAAAACGAAAGAAATAGTTTAATGGTTGGTAAACCAGATCAACCCATAGGTAAGTTACGATCAAAAAAAAAAAATTTTTTTTTTTCAAACAAACGACTCGTATTTAATAATAATAATGATAATAATAATAATAAAAAACGACAAAAAAAAAATGAATATCACCGTTAGTAACTAAATTTTCCGTGATGTACGATAAGAAAATAAATGATTTTTTTAAAAAAAGGAAAGAAACTTAATTTACCGTATATCTCGTTAAAATAAACAATGTGAAAACATTTATTTTGTATTAAAAAAGGAGGGAGGAGGGAGGAAGGAGGGAGGGGAATAAGGTATAATTTGTAGTAGTAGTGGTAGTAGTACACGATCGTGGTGGGTTTATAACAAACGAAAAATATATAAATAAATGTCAATTTATAATAATAATTTTTCATGATAAAATTTTTGTTACGAGTACACCCGTTAATAGAGTTTTCGGATCATCCGGGATTTCCAGTCCAACATCAAGAAACTGTTTTAAGTCTCATGTTTGTGTTGTTCTTTCTGAGGTAGTAGCCGTGACGGGTACTAAAAAAAAACCCGCCACGCGATGCGCAAGGAAGCATAGCCACCACAACCACCACCACCACCACCACCGTAAGCATCCACATTATATTAATGATAATAATTCCATTTAAAACCGAAGCAAAAAAAAAAAATGTGTTTGCTTTACGTGTCATTTTCGTTATTTCAATTTCTTTTATTTATTATAATATATCGAATGAGCGAAAGAAAGAAATAGGCGTTAAATAATTTACTTTTTTAGAAAATAATAATAATAATAGTGTCACGTGTTGATAAATAAGAACTAATGATAATTTATATTTTTCTAACATCTTATTAGCAAATGTCAATACTATTTTAAACATTTATTTTAATTAAGAGTTTTTGTTGTTTCTTATATAAATCCACGTCAAAACACTTTTTAAAAAAAAAGTTTTCTGCTTTAGGTATCAAATCCCTCCTCTCTTACTTTAAAAAAAAAAAAAAAAAAAAAAAAAAAATTTAAAGCCTCGACATTATTAATTAATTAATTTTTTTTTTGAAGTCTCTACGTCAATGAAATATAAATAAAACATTTCACACACACGCATTATTATCATTATTAATATATATATTTATATATAGAAAATTTGATATTTCACGCTGGGTTTATTGTGTTCGAAGCACACACACAAAAAGAATAATAATAATAAATAAATAAATCTCGGATATATATAACAATAACAGACAATGGATAATAATATTATAACTGTAATAGTACAATATTATTATAGAAAAAATCGAGTGCGGGTGTGCGGGTTAAATACACAACAAGTATTATTTATCGTGTTAAAAAAAAAAAAAAATCGTAAACATATGCAAAAAAATTTTTTTTATGTACGTATACATAAATAAATATCTCGAGGGCATTAATTAAGTAAACTATCCAACCTTTTCTTAAAAATTATTATTATTATTATTATTATTATTATTATTATTATTATTATTATTATTATTTATAGCTCTTATAAGTTTTCTTTTGTGTGATATAAATCATAAATAATATTTACTAATTACATCCTCCTACAAAAAAAATACTCCACGTGTTTTATTTATTTTATATATATATTGAAATACGAACGCCATAACGCATCGTATATCTTATTTTCGTGAAAATGTCAAATAATAATAATATTAATTAATAAAATAATTTATTTATTTATTTATTTATTTATTTACAGAACAGGAAACGAGAATTTATCGTCCACCGGCTACGGCAGCTTTTTTACACGCAATAAGAAATCAAAGGCCGGCACATAAAATAAAAAATTTCGAACCTTCTTCGTCGTTTCGTATAGTAAACCGTTACGGACCTGGATTAGGATTGTCGAACCTTGGAAGGAAACGTTCATGAATTTTCTTTTCCTTTTTTTTTTTTTTCTCGGTAGAATAAAATAGAAGAATAAACAAACGAACGCGAGTTATATGTTTTTTATTCTCCTTCCCCTTCCCTCCCTTCCCCCCACCCCTCAACCTCACTCCTTCTTTTATTTTTCCTTTTAATAATTAATTAATTAATTTTGTTTATAAATTATTTCGATTAATAAATATAAATTATGTTTTAAAATAATAAATAAAATTTTCTTTTTTTTTTTTGTATCATTACCGGCGCCATTTTTTTATTTATTACGATTCTTAACCGAAAAAAATCATTTATGTAAGTATTTCTATTCTAAAATTTTCTTTTTTTTGTTTAATTAGGTATACGTTTATAACGTAATTAATTAAATTTGTTAATTACGCTAACATTTTTTACAATAATAATAATAATAATAATAATAATAATATCAATTATGTAAAAAAAAACTTTTTTTTTTTTAGTCGGAAAATTATTTCTTAATTTTTTTTTACATATGAGAAATCAAGCGATTATATTATTTCACACATAAACAAAATATTTTTATAATTATTAATTATTTAAACATAAAACAAACGTTTGTCAATAATTTCGTAAATAATAATAATAATAATATGGGAGGATTAGGATAAAAACTTACAATTAAAGGATTTAGGATACAAACCTACCAAAAAAGGTTCGTTTGTTAGTTAAGAGAATCCATCAATTTTTCGGAAAATTTATAAAAATCGATCGAAAAAATAATAATAATAATAATTTTGTTGTTTGAAAAGAAGTTCAGGTATTGTGAACAATTGTTAAAGGCCTAATAATTGCATTGTTTATGAAAACCGGTAAACTAAATATTAGGTACTCGAGTAGTAGGTAGTAGGTAGTAGTAGGATTAGTACAAGTTTTGTTCTCTTAGTATGAAGTTTAAATAATAATAATAATAATAATAATTTTTTTAAATGTTATAGTATCATATTTTTTAGTTCGTTGATAAGAGTCGATGATAATGAATAAACCCAATCATGTTTTTTTTAACAAATATTTTCATATTATTTTTAGTTTTTTTACATACGAAACAAGTATTATTTTTATTTATTTATTTATTTTAATTATTTGTAATAAATAAACGCGCGCACACGCACACACGCACCCAAGTTAAAAAAAATTTTAAAAATAAAAAAGGGGGTTTGTTTGTTTTTTTTTTTTCCAGGATTTTACATTCGACGATGATTTTAATAAAAAAAATGGCGGCTTTTTTGATATGGAAAATGAAAAATTATTAAATTTTTTGATGAAACCTTTCGGACCGTGGTGGAAAAATAACGGTAATAAAAATAATTTTAACGTTTTTTACCTAAAATAACTTGACAACTAAAATTTTTTTTTGGTAAACTATAAAACGGTGTCAAACTCTCTCTCTCTCTCTCTTTCTTTCTTTCTAACGGCTTTATTAATTATTATATTTTCAAATGTAAAAATTTACGACAAGAAAAACGTTATAAAAAAAATTATTTTTATACTTCAGGGACTCCTTTTATATATTATAACCTAATAATAATAAAAAAAAAATACTTATGAGTTTTTTTTAATATGAGTTTTTCTAGAAAATTCTATTGTTTAGATAAAGAAGCCACAGATTTATTAACGTTCGCATAAAAGAATTTTTTCAAGTTGCTACGAATTTTAAATTATATTAAACACGTTTTTGTAAATAAATAAATAATAATGATTTCCGTACCGGGTGATCCTACAAACATTTACCCATAATTCCGGTTTAAAATTAAAGATTTTAACCGGAAGTAACAACAACCGAATCGATTTATCGAATTGTGAATGAAAAGAAACAAAAAAAAAAAAAAAAAAATTGTTTTTACTGACCGGATGTGGTATACGTATGGCAAGGCCATAACTTTAAAACGTTTTTTTTTCCCTAACGTATTTTAAAAAGGGGAAACTCAATACCTGATTTTAAAAATTTTTTATTAATTAATACTAATTAAAATTAACCATCGTGATTTGATACGTCCTCATTATTATTAATAATAATTATTATTATTAATAAAATTATTAATAATAATTATAATAATTTATAAAAAATTTGTCTGCTTTCAGATGTCGAATACGCGACGGTCAAATTACAAATTTTTTTTAAACGTGAAAAAAATAAAAATTTATTAAATTTAAATTTTCCGCGCGAAAATGAAAAAAAAAAAAAAAATTTTATTAAATTAAATCTTCGACCCGAAAGGGATTCATCATCATCATCATCATCATCGAATCTTGACGTTAATTTTAAATATTTAATTAAATTTGATAATTCGACTCGATTTGTTGGTAAAAAAAATATTAATAAATATAAAAAATGTTTTTACTCTCAAAACGACCACGAGATAAAAGCATTTATTGATGTTTGCGATGGATTAGTGAGTACAATAACATTTAATCGATTATTATTATTATTATTATTATTATTATCATTATTATTATTAAAATGTATAATTAAAAACTTTTATTTTTATTAAATTTTTGAATAGCCAACTAATTGATTTTCAATGATAAATTAATAATTAAAATTTAAATAGTTTATTTAAATTTTTTCTGTTTTGAATGATGAGGTCAAATTAAAATTACAATAATTATTAAAAAAAAATTATCATTATTATTATTATTATTATTATTATTATTATTATTATCATTATTATTATTATTATTATCATATCGGTGAAGGACTTTGAAATTAAATTGTATAAATATAATTTTCTTCTTTTTTTTCCAGAATGGATTCGTTCTGAGTGAAAATAAATTATTTTTCATCAGGCCATTATTATTAAATAATTCATCGGAAAATACTCATTTGATAATTAAAATTAATAATAATAATAATATTAATAATAATAATAATAATAATAAAGAAAATGAAGAAAAAGGAGTTAGAAGAAATGACACGTCGATATATAATAAAAGAAAAAAAAGATCTTATTATCAAAGGAAAAACGTTAAGGTGGAAACGGCCATTTTTATCGATAGAGACCTTTATAGGCACATGGAAAATAATTTTCCAAACGACACCGAAAGAAATTTATTTAGATTCGTTTTGGCTATGATAAATGCCGTAAGTGTGCGTGTGCTTGTGCGTGTGTGCACGTGCGCGAATAATTTTTTTTTTTTTTTTTTTAAATGAAATTTATTTCCATTGCGATTAATTCGGATTTACATAAATTCAGGTTCAATTGCTGTATCATGATTCCTCGTTAGAATTTAACGTTAGTTTTGTTTTGAAAAGACTGGAAGTACTCTATACCGACCCACCGGAATTGCAAAGATCTCACGACATTGATAGATATTTAAATAATTTTTGTTCTTGGCAAGAAAAAGAAAACGCGTTGAAAAATAATAATCCTTCGTTGCATTGGGATCATGCTCTAATGTTAACCGGATTGGATTTATATGCCATTGGTAAAAGTGGAAAACTATCAAATCAGGTACTAGGTGAGTAGTATGCAGTGTATTACTCGTACTAAGGAAAGGAAAAATGTATTTAACGGATTGAAATAATTTTAAAGGTTTGGCACCCGTGGCGGGAATGTGTAAACCATCGAGTAGTTGTACTGTTAATGAAGGTTTACACTTTGAAAGCGTTTACGTCGTTGCCCATGAAATAGGACATAAGTAAGAAACATGCTACCATGTTTAATTTCTTTTTTCTCCTCTCAAAACTAACAAATTTTATGAAATTTTAGTCTTGGTATGAGACACGATGGGCCATCAGCTGATAATGAATGCGATCCTAGTTCGCATATAATGTCACCGACTTTGGGAAGTGGAAAAAGCACTTGGTCGCCTTGCAGTAACAGATATTTGGGACAATTTTTAGAGTAAGCAGAAGAAGAAGAAAAAATAATTTTTAAAAACTACTAAAATTTATAAAAAATTTAATATTTTTTTTAGGAGTTCGCAAGCAAAATGCCTTTTCGATACATCTGAAGTAGAATTGGATCATTCAGAAGGAGGAAAACTCCCAGGGGAAAGATTCGATGCCGATCAACAATGTTAGTATTTAAAATTTTAAAAACCTAAATTTATCATTTTAGTTTAACTGCTAAAGTTCAATTTGTGATTTTAGGCATGTTAAAATATGGAAAACTTAGCGAAAGGTCACCGACGCAAAACATAGAAGAAATTTGCAGGGATTTACGATGTACCAAAGAACGATATACCTGGACATCTCATCCCGCTTTGGAAGGCACAAAATGCGGTTTAAATAAAGTAAACGATTACACTAAAAAACAGTCATTCCTATTATCATTATTATTTATGAAAATTCTGTAACCGTTACGATAATATCCGTTTACAGTGGTGCCGTTTTGGTCGTTGCATATATAAAGAACAAGAAGAAATGTTTGAAAGAATAACAGATGGCGGTTGGAGTTCATGGAGTTCTTATTCGGATTGCGCTTCAGCGTGTCTTTTAGGAAACAGTTATAACGAAGTAGGGAGTACTGGGATAACAATAGTATCTAGAACTTGCAACAATCCGAGGTATTCTATAAAAAAAAAAAAGAAAGAAAAAAGTGTCATGATCGCCTAGTTTAATACTTTTTAGTTTTTTTTTCAAAAAAAAAATTTAATTTTAGACCTCAAAACGGTGGAAGAATTTGTAAAGGAAACGATAAAAAGTATAAAACATGTGAAGCGATACAATGCTCTAACGTTCCACCTTTAACAGTAAAAGAATTTTCCGAGCAAATATGTCGAAGAGGAAGAGAAGTTGATAAAAATTTAATTGGTGTGGGATTTCAAAAAAATGATTCAAACGGTATTTAAAAGGCCCGCGCAGCTGCAGATTTCAGGAAAAGATGCATTTAATCCTAAAAGGTTTAATTTTTGTCTTAGCCGAAGAAGCTTGTACGGTCTGGTGTCGTCTTTTTAATGGGGGAGCAACAAGTAAGGGATGGGTTTACCCTGACGGAACCTCTTGTCGTACCAGTACGCCAACGAATAATCCAATGTTTTGCGTTTCCGGAAGATGTGAAGTAAAAATGAATGATATTTAATAATAAATAAAATTCCAATTATTGAAAGAAAGGCACGAGTAACGGATTCAAAATTTTTGTAAAGAATTTAACCGAGAAAAATTTTTTTTTTTTTTTTTTTTTTTTTTCAGGAATTTCACTGTCATCCTGGAAAAGAATCGACGTTTGTCGCGTCCGAAAAATTCTGCAAACCTGAGTTCACTCAAATACCAATTTCTTATACGAGTTGGAAACCGATAGGCCCTTGTCGATACAATTGTATAACACCCGCCACGGGTTTGAGAGTATTAAAAAGAGGGACTAAATATAATATTCAACTCTGTCAATCATTGGTAACAAAAAGAAAATTGTTTACACTTAAAAAAATCTGCGGAAAAAATTCAAAAAATTAAATGGTTTGTTTTAGAATTGTAATAAAAAGACGACATTTTTCGAGTATGCAACGAGTCTTTGCAGTCGATATAAATCACGTGTTAAAAAAATTTCTGGATTAGGTACTCAACTAGCAGCAACATTAGGTACGGTAATTTTTTTCCTAATAAACTTATCGTGATGGCTTACAAAAATTAAACATGTCATCTCAAACTGCAGAAGATCCTGATCGACCGTGTCATGTAGCATGTCAAGACGAAAACGTATCGCACAGGTTTTATCTTGTTACGGGTGAGGATGGTTGGTTTCCTTTTGGTACCGATTGTAGTCGCGGAACGGTAGGGAAAAGAGCTTATTGCGTTAGTGGAAAATGTTTGGTAAGTAAGCAAATAAACACGAAAGACGTGGTCATTTAAGTCATTTAAGTCGATAATTTAAAAAAAAAATTTTTTTTTAGGAATTCGGGAAAAACAACATGCCTAAAATGGAAAGCAAATTGACGTTTTTAAACGTTAGAAGAAAAAGAAGTTTTGATTTGCAAAATAAAACAGTAACAGCTACGGTAGACTCGTTGGCCGTTCAAAAATTAATTGAAATTTTAAATGAAGGTAAAACCGATTTTTTGAAAACAGCAATCTTAAATTAAATTTTGTTCAAAAAAAAAAAAACTATTATGTTGCAGGAGAAAGTCAGTATTCAAATTTTACTCCTCTAACCATAGATTTCGAAAATCCCATACACGTAAAACCAGAATGGGAAAATATGAGATCAATTTTAAAAAGCAATGAATCGAATAATTAATAAAAATACAAAAAAAATTATTTTTAAATAACTAACTATTAAAAAAAAAAAATCGATTTTAAGTTTAGTTTTCAAGCCTTATCCTTAAATAAAATTCATAAAAATTTTTTTTCTAAAACTTAAACGAAAAAAATATGTAGGGATTCTATTTGAACATATAAAAAAAAAATTAAAAAATAAAAATTGAAAATAAACTTACCCTTTTTTGTTTTTCCCCTTATAACCATTTTTAAATCATCTGGAGCTGATGCGAGAATATTTTTTCATTATTTCTTGTAAACTTCCTGAATTTGTTACAAAATCAATCCATAAAAGTGCATTTTTTCTATCACTTTTTCTAACCAAAGTCTAACAAAAAAAACATAAAAATAATTATGGCATATGCATACATATTATTTGCTTATTAAATCATAGCGACATAATTTAAAGTGTAAACTTACTTTGGCTTCTAAATATTTATTGAGAAGTCGTTTAATCTTTCTAGATAATTCATCATTTTTTTCAACACATTTTTGAAATACCATGAAAAGATCGACTGGTATTAATAATATTTGATTTGTGGGTCCACATAATATATTTTTAAATATGGATTTTACAGACAATTGCCTAAATTAAATTAAATTTAATTTAAGAATCGTGTAATTAATTAAATTTAAATTTTATGGTGTTAAAATTCATTAAAAATTGAAATGTTAAATGCTCGACACATTTTTCAGTTTTTAAAATTTAAACTTTTTTTATTAAATTATACTTACAATTCATTTCTAAACTTGTGAGTTATGTAAATTGAATCATCATTTGATTTTCTTGTTAACTTTAATAAATTAACATAAGTTAAATTCTCCTCATCATTGGTATTTTCTTTATTACTTAACAAATCATTAATTTCATTTAAAAACGAATGACCATTTTCTTTTAAAGTTTCATTAAATTTCTGCTCTTTTAATTCGAAATTTCTAACATTATTGATACAATGTGTTTTATATTCATCGATAAATGAAACTGACTCCTTTTGTAAATCTTTATAATTTTTTATACTTTCAATTTGTTTAGATAAAATATCTAACAAATCATTATTTTTTGCATTGTTGTCTTCAATGTACTCTTTAAAAGTACTTAATTTAAACAAATATTCATTACTTAAATCTAAAAAAAAAAAAAATAATTTACTGTTTTAGCATAGATAGAATTACTACCCATAACTTTTCAAATATAGCTTAAAGTATTATGAAAGAAAATAAAGCATATTCAATTATAAAAAAAAACTTGCCTTTTTCTTTCGATAAGTAATTATTTAATATTTCTTGAGTTTTGAGAGTGATTAATTTTCCTAATTTTTCACTTAATTCCAATTCCAATTTATTCACTAATTTTTTTAAAGTGTTTAGATTTTTGTCATGAGTAATATTTGAAAAATTTAATTGATCTGTACCAATCTTCGGCATATTTAAATTTTTAAATTTATTATTAAATAATTCACTTATTTCTGTAAGTTTATTTTGTTTACCTATTAAAGCTCTGTAATAATAATATAAAGTCATTAAATTAGAATTTTAAAATCATTTTTTTTATATTTATGAGAAAATAATTTATAAATAACATACCCTTTGGATAAAGCCAATAAAGTTTCGCTAATTTTTAAATTTTCTTCCATTTTGTTTAAAAATTGAATTTGATTTTTTCGATGAAAATTTTCATTATGTGGTAAATTGTAATTATCAATATTACAAAAAATTCCATTTTCTTTTTCAAGTAAGGACTGATAATTAGTTCCTTGTATTAAAATATTCGGTTCCTTTAATAATAACTCATTGAGATTTTCAACAGCCGCATCAAACAATTCATTTGTTTCATAGCATTTTTCCTTGATTATATTGAGTTCATTTTTCCAAAAATTATTTTTTTCAGCAGTTTTATTAAATATTTTGTTCACCTCAGTTTGAACTTGCCTACAGAAGTGCAAAATTTATGAATGCAATTTATGTTTCTATAATTTTATAAAAATTAATTACAATTATACTTACGCGATATTTTGTAAAACATCATTTAAACTTCTGTTGGTTTCTTTTAAATCCTCCAAATCTTCCACCATTAAATTACTAATGTAATCTGCATCTAATGTTTGTAGTTCATCAAAAGAAATTTTGTTAGTAGAAAGAACAAAATCCACTTCTGTTAAACTTGGTACCATATTATTTTTTTCAAGTTCAAAATAATGCATTTCTTCTACTTTGGTAAGAGCATTTTCAGAGGTTATATTATCTATTATCCAATCGAAAAAAAAACTAATGTCCTCGGGAACATTTTCAAATAAGCCATCAAAACTTTTGTCCGGAAATTGATTTAAATCAATATCTATCGCCGACAAAAGCGATAAAAAATTCTTATTTTGTACACTTAAAGCCATGAATTACAATAATAAAATAAATATAATTACTTAAATTAACGAAACTTGTGATGTATACAAATAAACCGTTGCTCATTCGTACGTTGGCAATAAGTCTAAAGGCGGAGAAATTCGATCGTCTTGTTGCACTGAAAACAAAGGTATTCTACTCTTGTCAATTCTATAATTATTTATTGAGTAATATAAATTTAAGTTTAAAATATTTTTTTTAAAATTTAATATAATTATATTTCCTGTAGTTTTACTGCATTTAATTTCTTTAATAATAATCCTTTTGAGAAAGTCAAGATAAATATAAATAATAATAAATTAATTTAAAATAACCAGCAAAATATCTCTTCACACATATTCATCAAAATATTTATACACTTTTTCAAATTGAATAAAAAATTTAGTATATTAAGAAAAACTTTTCTTATTATTTCTTTAAATGTTATTAAATAAAATTTGAAATGAATTAGTTTTTGTAATTTACAAAACATTTACAAAATAAAAAAATTTTTTTCATTTAATAAATTTTTATTAATATTTATTAATCATATATTAAAATGCTTATCATTCTATAATTATTTTATTTTATTTACATAATAATAATAATAATTTTTGGCAACTCTTTAAGAGTGTACATACAATCTTTTTTCTTAATTAAAAAAAAAAAAAAAAAAAATTAAAGTAAAGTAAAATCTACATAAAAAATAAATTATTTTCTCTCAAATTAAGTTCAAAAATAAAATAAATACTTTTTTTTTTCTTTCTTAAATATATATTTATGTATATATATATATAAATTTGATTATTATTATTATTATTTACTTTTTTTATTTTTTCTAATAACAATAAAAGTTTTATTTTTAATTTTTTATTTAGGACTAACATCTTACTTTATTATAAAAAGCTTATACTGACTAGAAATGTTAATTTCGATCATTAATTTAATTTAATTTTAAAGAATGTATAAAATAATTAATCCACTCCTCAATTAAAAAAAAAAAAAAATTTCATTTTCAATTTTTTTTTTTTTTTTTTTTTTTCACAACCAAATTAAACAACAACTTAAATATTAAAAATAATACACATTACACAAATATATTTATTATTATTATTATTATTACTTTTATAAAAAAAGCACAATAAGCTTTGTTAATTTAATTTCTATTGTATAATTTTATATTTTAATAAATATATTATTTATTTATATATATATAAATTTTCAAATATTTATGTATCCATTAAGAAAATACATTTTAGACCGTAATTAATAAAAATCTCTTTTGTTGCAAGTAATAATAATAATAATAATAATGCATGTGCCTTTTTTTATATTAAATTCGCTAAAAAAATTTTTTTCGTTTTACCAATTAATTAATTAATTAATTAATACAACTAATTAAAATCAGATCTTCATCAAAAAATAAAAAATAATTTTAAATTTTTCCCGCTTTTTTTTCAATAATAATAATAATAATTTTTGTTACTTTAAGCATAAATACAAGGAAATCATTTATTTATTTATTTCTTTTCTCTAATAAAAATTTAATTAATAATATCATTATTAAAAATTCATATTAATTTATTTTCGAGTATACTTTATATATATATATCTTTGATTTCGTTAATTAATAGGCTGAAACTTTTAAAAAAAAAGTTTTTAATCAGTTGGCGGAATAATAATTTGATACATTCATTACAAAAGAAAAAATAATAATAATATTCGGTTAATTAGTAATAATAATAATAATAATAGAGAGCAAAATATTGATTCTCACAGACTGGACGGAATTGCCAAAAAAAGAAAGGCAACTTTTTAATAAGCAAAACACGTACAATATAATAATTAATTAATTATTTGTTTTAAATAATTGAGTTTTAAAATTCTTCGTACATCGAGAGACAAAAAAAAAAAAAAATCTATATCAATATTTAATTGACCTTGATTGTTTTTACTCAGAAACCACCAACTGATTTTTTTTTTTTTTAACATTTATGCAAAATGACATTTAAATATAGACATTTTCAATGAGGTTGAGAATTACCATTTTGTTGATAACTGGCATCCAAACTGCTCGAACTATCTATACTGTATCCTGCAATGCTATCTGGGCTCTGAAGGCTTGCGGCATATAATGGATTAACCGGAGCACGATTATCAAAATGAGTACTGTCATAAACATTGTTACTCTAGAAAAAATTAATTTAAAATTAATTTCCTGATATTAAGCCTAGCGTGTGTGTGTGTGTGTGTGTCAATGTCGAATTAATACTGATGTAAATATAAATAATCCTTTTAATAGTTTTAACAATTAAAAAATTATGTAACTGACTTGGTAAATGCAATCAGAGTCAGTCTTCAAGGACGAGAACGACTGTTGATGTGGTAAAGAGACATTGTCTTCCTCCATGGCGTCGTCTACTTGAGCCTTGTACGAAAACATAATTGTAGGCTGGGTAATACTAAAAAAAATTATTTTATGTAATTAATATATACATATATATGTCATTTATAAAAAAAAAAAGTTTAATTTATACCTGAAAAATTCGTTAAGGAAAGCATGAAAGACAAGAGGAGTAAACATGGTGAAATATATGCAAGAAGTGGCATCGACCATACAAAGGCCAGAAACGTAACCGCCATAATACAGCAAACCACTTCCAATAGTTTGGACAACATCCAAAAGAGCAAGGAAAAATATGTACAAGTAAAATGAATGCCTTGCTGTAATTTTTAAAAATTTTCATTAATTCAATTTAATCCTAATACTGTTAAAAGTATTTAAATTATAGCTAAAAGAATAATAAATTCGAAAGTAAAAATTTACGACTTACTCGGTAAAACTATTCTTTCTCTTAATTTTGTCCAAGGCAATATTAAAACCAAAAAGTATGCCTAAAAGAAATATACACATATATAATAATAATAATTTAATAGAAATTACTTATTTATTTAAAATAATATATATAAGACTTCTTAGACTTGAAATTAAATTAAACTTACAATTGCAAAAATGAAAGATGTAATAAACCAGAAAAGCATTCCACCATGTTTGAAAACGCTATTATTTCCAAATGTAAAAGTATCAGGAGAAATTACTTCTAATGTACCCTGAGTGATAGAAAAAGCAAGAGAAATAAAAGAAGTAGCTAGAAGAACATAACGAATGCTACTTCTACTGTCTAAGTGACCTAAAGTAACAATAAAAAATAAAAATAAATCATATTTTTGTTCATTTCCAGTTCAAAAACTTTATAAAAAAGATTTGATAATACTGGTACCCACCGAAAGCTAGGCCAAAAATGACAACACACATTTCTGTTGACAGCATGAAAAACCTAACAATAACCCACAGAATTTTATCTGTGTAACCTCCTGAAATCATTGCTGCACTTAAGGTCATGGAAACACAGCATCGTATTAAACTTATTAAAACATTAACTAAAACCTAAAGATAACAAAAGGGTGAACAAAGGAAAACATTTAAAAAAAAAAAAAAAAAAAAAGAACAAAAGAAAATTTACCAATCCGTAAAAAGTAATAAATATTGGACTACTTGTAGCTCGAAGTTTTAAACGTGCTCTGTTGAATCGAGCGATTAAAAGCAATAAAAATAGTAGATTTGGTACAAATATAATAACATCCCAAGCTTTAATTCTAAAATTAAGAAAACATAAAAATTAATAAAGGAAAAGTCATGATTCAGCATGAAATGTAATAAAAATGTAAATTTCAATAAGTTATCAAACAATAAAAAAAAAAAAATTATCCACCAAACAAAAACTTAATTATTAAAAACTAATTACCTTGAATTTCCTATTTCAATGTACAATATTTGTTCACAAAAGTGATAATTTAGATCTGATGAGTTTCCATACATTTTTCTTGAATTTTGAATAATAACCTCTGCCATTTCTCAATAGTACATTAATTCTAAAACAAAAATTGAAAACAATGAGTTTGTTTTATATTTTATAGATAATACAATAGTTTTAACAAATTTAACGTTAAAAACGAAAGTGTATTACTCAATAATTTACAAATGTTGGCAAAACCATTTAAAGACAAAAAAAAAAATACTAAAATTTTTTTTTTAAAAACTTGTACAATATGATTTACAATAATATTGATGAAAAATTTTGGACTCACAATAAAATTCTCGAGTAATAATTCAAGTAATTTTTAATTCAAAATTTATTTTTTTCTTTTTTAAACAAAACTAGAAAGCTTCAAATAAACGAAATTACGTAAAAAAACAATATTAATACGACATCAAAACTAATGAGCGAAAGTGAAACATAAGGAGACTTATAATGATTTTGTAATTTAATGTGACAAAAAAAAATTAATTTTAAATAATACTTACCATTTGCTTACGAAAATTTCACAATTACGCATATTTATTTGTTAATAACAAAACTTAATAAAATAAAATTAAAACGAAATAAAAGTCATAGTCATAATTCCGTATGTAATAACTAAACTTTTACAAAACCAAGTACATTCTGTTTTTTATTTAAGGTATAATAAAGGAGGCAACAAGTCGAATTTATTTCTGCGCAGAATTAAAGGATATTAATTAATTTTAGGAGGCCCTTTAATCTTTGCTTTTTGGGATGTTGTGTTACGGGGGAAAAAAAAAAAAATCAATAAAAAATCAGTTTCCCATTTATCGTTCCATTTAAGTTTCTTTTTTGCAAAATTATTAAAAAGAAAATAATAATAATTTACTTTCGTGCTTGCTTTCTCATAGTATATTCCTTAAACATAACTAAAAGTTACAAGAATAACCGATTTAAAAAACAAAAAAAATTCAAAACAAAAAATCATATCAAAAAGTAATTTTATTATTAAAACAATTAATGTAGTATATGAATAAATAATAATAATAATAATAAAAGCACTACATAAATACTAATTCCAAACTATTATAAAATAAAATACAATGATTTTGTAAAAAAAACATAAAACAGTCATGTTAATAAGTTAAATAAATAAAAATATAATACATTGATGATGATTCTCCTTATTAAAAAATAAAACCATTTCACAAAACTAAATTACTAATAACTAACTTTATCAAAAAAAAAAACTAATAAACCACTAAAAATGATAACAATTAAAATTTTACGAAAGAGAAAAAAGAATTTTAAAAAAAAAAAAAAAAACTTTTTAACCGTTTTTTAGATTTATTTTACGGATGAATTTTTTATTATTATATATAATTATATAAATTTATTTCTTATTTTGTGAAGAGAAAAAAATAATTTACATTAAAATAAAAAATCTGCGAACGAAAAAAAAAGAGAGAAAAAAAAAAAGAAAAAAAAAAAAGACGTGCGCGATTTTGACAGATAAATGTAAGAAATTTCATTTTATATTTTTGATTTTTTTCACCATTTTATTATTTCGTTTAGGGACGAAACAAAAATGAGGTAGATAAAATTTTATTAATTAAATAAATAATTTCACTGGTTTCGATTCCTTAAAGGACTTCCCGGACTCATTGGCTCCTGTTTAACTGTGATCGATGTATTTATGGGAGTTGATGTCGGCAACAGAGAACTATTTTTTTTTCCTTTGACTAAAAAAAAATTCAAATTTAATAAAATGATTTAAAATTTAAAAAAAAAAAAAAACTTTTTAGAGGTACCAAAAAAAAAAAAACTTACAAGGAGTCGAAGCCGGTCTTTTCCCACCGATAAAAAGCCTTTTTGGATCATGACCGATTTGTTCTTGTAATTTTTGAATTTTTTTCTTTAAATTTTTTATTTCCAATGTCAACTTTTGATTTTCCTGAAAAATCAAAATCAGATGTTATATCAAATATGAAATTGTATGTACAAAAAAAAAAAAAATTAACGCCGTTAAAAGAAAACAAAACAACTCACTTTTCTTGTTTCTAACAATGTGTTTTTAAGATTAACAACGTGTTGAATTTTTTGCTTGTGATTTCTATGACCCAATTCGGCAGCTTGTTCTAAATGTTGTTTTCTAAGTTGTTCCCTGTCGTTTTCAATAAGCAATCGTTCCGTTTCGTAATGCTCCAATTGTTCTCTGAATGGACCAATCAGGGATTCCAAATCGGAACATCTTTTAGTTAATCTAAAAATAATTATTATTATTTTATTTCATTCTCCTAAAACCTGTAATTTAGAATTAAAATGCAAAAAAAAAAAAAATTTAATAATAATTACTCTTCCAATTTTTTATCTCTGTCTTGCAAAATAGAATGCAACGCATTAAAATCATTTTTCAGACTCGTGTTTTCGTCTTTTGTTTCAGCCAAAACCTTTTCCAACCTTCGACAATTTTCTTTATAATAATTTTTACGCTCTTCTACGTTCAATAAATTTTCACGTTCTTTTCTCAATTTGACATTATCTTCTTTTAGACTTGAATATTCAGAGTCTAAACAACACTTTTCCGCGAATAAACCATCATATTCAATTTTGAGTTTTTTGTACAATTCTTCAACGTCGAGTTTATCATTTCGAATATCATCAACCAATTTTTCATTCATTTCTAATTTTTTCTCGGCAATTTTCAACTCGAAGAGAGCATCGCTTTTTTCACGTGACAAAGTTTTTATTTCTTCTACGAATATTAATTTTTCTTTTTGATACGATTTTTCTGCAGCATCTTTAGCTTCGAGTTCGGCTTCCAAATCCCTAACTTTTCCGTTCAAATTGTCAACTTCGACTTTGAATTTGTTGACTTCCGATTCTAGATTTAATACCTGTTTTAAACAGTTAATAAATTATTTTTTTATTAAAAAAAGTTAATTAAAGTGAAATTGTAAAAAAAAGTTGAAAATTGTACTTTACCTCATTTTTTAGTTGATTATTTATTTCTTTTTCTTCTTTTAAGCAAGAAACTTTTTCATTGAATTCCTCCTGGAGGGAAATTAATCTTTCCTTATCGGCCAAACAATCATTCTCTTTCTCTGCTAATTTTTCTTCTGCGCGTTTTTTTTCCTCTTCCAGTTTTTCTAACGCTTTTTCAACTTTTTCAAGACTAACAGATTGCTCTTCCAATTTTTTTTTTAAATCGGCACTTTCTTTTACTGAGATATCAACAGTTGTTTTTAATATCTCGCAATCCGTAAATAAATTATCGTGATCGTAGGTTTTTCGTTTTAAGTCTTCCGTAAGTTGTTGATTTGATAATTTCAAATTTTTAATTTCCCTCGATAAATTTTGTATCTTTTCTGCGGAATATTTCATGAAAAATTCCAGTTTTTCCGTTAGGGTTTGGCTAATTTGTTCTATTTGATCCAATGTGGCTTTTTCGGTTTCTATCAATTGTAGTTCTTGATTTTTAACTAAATTTTTCATCGTCATGATATGATTTTCTTTTTCGCGTTCCAAGCTCTCATTGCTGCTAATTAAATTTTTAACTTTACTTTCTAATGAATTACAAGTCGATTCTAATTCGTTACATTTCTCCGATAGTTTTTTGTTTTCCGCAAAACATTCATCCAAAGTAGCTTGCAAATCGACTTCAGCTTCGACCATATTTTCATATTTAGTTTTTAAATCATTCTTTTCATTTTCAATTTCTTTAATTTCCGTTAATAAAGATGTATTTTCGGTATTCAATTTCTCTACTTCTTTTTCACTTTCTAACAGCCTTATTCTTAGAGCTTCTAATGATTTGCTTGTATTTCCAGCCACGATTTCAAATTTTCTGCATTGACCCCTCACCATCCTTATTTCTTCATTATACTCGTTAATTGTTTTCTCATGTTCTGCTTTCTTTTCATTAAGTTCTTTAATTAGATTATCGATTTTTACTTGAAGTTCGTAAGTAGTTTTTTCTAATTCATTTTTTTTGGAGCTAAGTTTTTCGTTGAAATTTTTAGATTTTTTGAGTTCTTCACAAGATTTTTTCCATTCATCAACTTTTTTATTTAAATCTTTTCTTAAATGAATAATTTTAGTATCGAGTTCTCCAAGTTTACAACTTAAACGTTCATTTTTACTGAATTCTTCGTTATATTTCGTTGTCATTTTATTTAAACTATCACACTTGTTTTTATTTTCAGAATTCAAAAGCTTTATTTCTTCCAACATTAATCTAATTCTTGAATTTAAACTTTTATTATGAGTGCTGATATTCTTTATTTCTAAATCTTGTTTTTCTATGTACGAAAGCAAATCTTTAACCTCTTCTAGTATTTCTTTATACTGTTCTAATAAAATACTGAATTCTTTATTTTTCGTTTCGATTGTTTGTAAAGAACTTGCTTCAAGTTTTATAATTTTTTTCAAACAATCATCTTGTACATTTTTAACTTTTTCGAGATGTTGGTTTTCTAATTTACAAACTAAATTTGAGAAATTATTTTCAGCTTCTTTTAGTTTTTTTTCCCAGTCGGCCAATGTTTTTAAATGCTTAGCATTTGTCTGATTTAAAATATTTTGTTTTTCATCTAGTTGATTTTGAAGTGAATTTATTTTTTCTGTATTTTCTTGCATTTGAGCCAAAAGTTTTGACTCGTACTCGTTTTGAAGTTGAAGAATTTCTTCGGCATGACTCTTTACGAGTTCGCTTTTTTCAGTCTCTGACAACTCTTTTTCAGATTCAAAAATTTCTTCTTGCGTTATAAGTTTTTTATTTAATTCTTCTAATTCGTTTTTATGACTCTGAACAAGCACCATTTGCTCTTCCTCAAATAATTTTTTATTTTGTTCCATTTCAAACTTTATTTCTTCTATATTATTCATTAAATCTTGATTTTTTTCCTTCAGTTCCAGTGTCTCTTTCGCATGTTTTTCTAAAACATTTTAAAATATTTTTAAAAGAAGTTTTACATGAATTCCTACACAATACTAAGCATAGATATTACAGCTAACCTGTTACAATTATTTAAAAATCTCATTAAATTTATATATTTTTAAATACAATTATTAGTACTAACCTAATTCCATTTTCAATTCTGTTATAGTTTTATTGTGATTTTCACATGCTTCCTTGGTTTCATCCAAACAACTCTGTAACTTTTTCGAAGAAGTTTCAAACTCACATTTTTCAGTCTTTAGTTTTTCAACAGTACGATTTAAATTTGATATTTCAGTTTCTAAACCAAATATAATAGCTTCATTTTTGCTTTTATTCGCATCCAATTCTTTAATTTCACTCTCTAGTGTAGAAATTTTTCCTTGTAAACATTCGATTGAAACTTGATGATTCATTTTTAGTGCATCTTCACTCTGTTGTATTTCATATATTAATTGATCTTTATTCTTTTGTTCTTTTTCTAGCTGTTCAATGGTCCCTTCTAAGCTAATGAGTTTCCTTTCATAATCCAAATTGATTTCTTCTAATTTATTGTTTTTTTCTTCAGCTTCCTTAATTTTCATTTGAAGATCATTATTATTTTCTACCCATTTTTTTTCTTTCTCTTCTAACTCTGTTATTAATGATTGAAGTGCAATGATCTGTTGCTCATAATTTTTATTATTACTCTTAATACACTCTAAATTAGATTTGGCTACTTCTAATTCTGCTATATGTGATTCTAATTTTATTTTTGCTTTTTCATGATTTGATATCTATAAAAAAATTAAATAAGTACCATTTTTTTTAAAATGTATTATTTCGTATTATTGCTGTTAAGTTGTAATGACTTAAAAACCTTGTATTTTAATTTGTATGAATATTGTAAACTATACCTGAATTTTGAGATCTTGAATGTGCCCTTCCAAATCATTTATTGTTTCAGTCTTATTAGAACACTCCACTCTTAAAGCTTTAAGCTCTTCTATTTCTCCTTCACTGTTTAAAAATTCCACATCTTCTGCTTTGAACGAAATTGATTTAAATATGTTTGGATTTGCTTTTTCTGCAGTTCCCAAGCAGTTATGTTTTTTCGGCACATGAGGCTTTTTATTAACAAAAGAAAAAA